ATTATATATAGATACCTACACATTAATATGTGTAGGTATCTATATATAATAGATTGTTAATGTAATTGTTTTTTATAGCAAGTAGCAACTGATTTAAAAACAATATTGGAGATATTTATTTATTGAATCCAAGCAACGAGTTGACTTTTGTCAACCTCTACATTTTTAGACTTTTGTATTTTGTTTCTTTTTTGTTATCTGTAACTAATTACGAATTATTTATCGAGAATTGTTTCGTTATCTTTTTCAGATTGTTCAAGTTTTATAAAAATATGAAAACCATGTTCCAATTTCCGTTAAATAATCGTAAAATCGACTTGGGTAACAGTCAATACTAAATATAATAAACATTTCTTATCGAATCAGTAGTTTTATGTTCGTAGATGTGGGGGTCAAGATTTTTTTTTACCAAAACACAGTTGTAACTAAAATAAAAGTACGTTCAAATATATTTATATAATATAAATACTGGTGAGGTACAAGTATAAATATTTGAATGGTAACTTAACTTGAATACTAACCGATGAGCGCTTGGCATTTCTGGCTCAGTAACCTACCCTTAAACATTTATTAATTTTTTTTATTTCGATAGAGATTCTTGTTTAAAAAGGGCTCAGCAGCAATCTTACCTGCTGCACACTGCAATCGGAACCGCAACTAACATCGAAGTGACCATCGCCCGTTCGATTCTGTAACAAATCACAGTATTTAACTTACATTATAAGAAGTAAAGTGTTAGGTTTCCCTAAATTATGAAATATCTAGTACTGACCGTAGGTGTTGTACCTATCTACTTAACTGTAATAATTACGTATTATACATAGGGCGCACTATAAGTTTCCGTAACTAACCAGTTACATAAACAATATTTAAAAAGTAATTACAACATTTGACAATAGAACTCTCAGGCTGTAGAATACAGTTTGTTTCATCTGACTGTCACTTGTTTTGTCATTGTGGCGTCATTTTAGAAATTGGTTGTCTACATCACCATGGATTTAACTCGTGAAAATTTTCGTAGTATGGTTTACTACGACTTGAAGTGTAAACTAACGGCTCAGCGGAGCTCGACTTCAAACTGCTTTTGGCGACGAAGCACCATGCAAGACGACTACTTATAGCTGGTTTGCAGAATTCAAACGCGGTCGTGTGAATCTCGGTGACGAATTTCGTGATGGTCGCCCGTCCACTGCTGTGAACAACAAAAACATCGATAGTGTGCATCGTATGATCAAAACAGACAGGCATGTGACATACCATGAGATTCGGGCATCTTTAGGCATAGACATGAGTCAAAAAATACAATCAATACTACACAAACATTTGGGTGTGAAAAAGCTGTGCTCTCGGTAAATCCTACACAATTTGACTGAGGCTCAAAAAACGGTTCGCGTCACTTGGTGCAATTCCATGCTTACCAGATTCAACGTAGGGGCGTCAGATTTGATGTAGGACATAGTAATAGGTGACGAAACATGGATTTATAGTTACGATCCCAAAACAAAGCAGTAATCGAGAGTATGGGTCTTTCGAGATGAGCCGAAACCAACCCAAGTGGCGCGCGTGCAAAGTGCCTCTAAGCGAATGATTCCTTCTTTTTTTAATAAAACTGGACACGTGGCTATTTTTGCTTTAGAGAATCGTTGTACCGTGAATTGTGATTGGTACACGGCCATTTGTTTGCCGGAAGTTATCGACAAACTCCGTAAAAATAACCGTAAACGCTGTATCATCTTACACCACGATAATGCTAGTTCTCACACGGCAAGACTTGACAGAGTTGTGACTTTTAATTATTCCCAAAAATTAAGAACCAGTTACGCGGTCAACGATTTTCATCACCTGAAGAGGCTGTCGAAGAGAATGAAAACTATGTTTCAGTGATTGCCACGGAGGAATGGCATAAATGTTTTCAAAATTGGTTCATTCGTATGAAAAAGTGCATTAACGCTAACGGAAAATATTTTAAGAAACAATAAATTCATTTCTGACCATTTATACTATTTTTTTGTTATTCATTCCGGAAACTTATAGTGCGCCTCACGTATGTATTTGCCTACTGTATAGGCAAAATGAATAGGTAAATAATTCACGAAATCATTGATGTATGTAAGCTTCCCTGTGGTGTAGGCGAATATTACGGACGAGATTTAAAGTTGACAGTGCCAGTACCTACAATTCTCACGCTTTCTGCATTCGTTAAATTCATCTTATGAAGATATTACGGGTAGCGAAGTAATAATATTTCGATAAAAAATAATTCTGTCCACCGGAGCTACTGTTGGATGGCTTCCGGTGCGCACGCGCAGCGGAACGTGACCTCATGCCATCCTGCGATATCGGTCCGTACCTGCCTTAATTGATGGCTACACATTTCGATTGAAAGTAATCTGTGATTTTTTTTAAATCCAATCTCTTTAGTGATGCAGCGCGTAGATGTGGGTTGATACAATAATGGTTGATGGATTGTCATGTAATTTGCTGGATATAAGTACACTTCTAATAGTGATTTTTTCAATTTCATTAATCAATACGGCAGATACGGTAGAATACAACTACGTCATCAACCTAATGAATCTGCGCATATCTGCCAACTTATTTATTTATTTATTTAAACTTAATTGTACACAAAACAGTACAAATAGCGAACTTAATGCCATTAGGCATTCTCTACTAGTCAACCGGAGAGCTGGGTTCAAAATAATTAATAGGGGTGCATAACATGATAATTAGAACAGATAGGAAGAAATTTATAAATAATTATGATTATATAGTTTAAACACTATATAAATATAGCACATAATATTCTATGACCAAATATGTACTTATATAAGCAACCTATATACACATAAATACATAATATATAATACATGCACATATATATTTAATATACATATTTATATATAACAATGTCAGACTAACGGGATGTAGATTGAGACTCCAATAAGAAATCGCGGACTTATTGCTTGAAAGCTAGTTTATTCGGCGCTTTTTGAATATGGGGCGGTAGAGCGTTCCAGAGTCGTATTGCCTGAAGAGTAAATAAGTTAGAAAGAAAACCAGTAAGGTCGGAAGGAATTAAAAGAGTCAATTTGCTGTCTGAGCGAAGATTGCGATTCTGGGATGCACCCAAATATTGAAATTTACATTTGAAATATCCAGGTGCACATTTATCATTGATGATAAAGTCAAGAGTGGAAAATATTCTCAAATCACGACGTTGGCGAATCGTAAGCCACTTCAGCTCATTGCAACATGCGGACAAGTGATCAAATTTTCGAAGTCCATAAATAAAGCTAATGCAACTATTGAGCAAGCGATCCAATTTCTTGAGAAGTTCATGGGTGATATCAGCATAACACACATCAGCATAATCAAAGATAGGAAAAATAGTAGCCTGTACTAATAGGATTTTTGTTGAGAGATGGGAAGAAAGTGTTTGAATTGGTAGAACGATCTTAAGGTACCAATGATCTTCTGACTAATGCAGTCAATCTCAGGTTTCCAGCTTAAAGTACTATTAATGTATAGTCCCAGATTCACAACATGAGGTGCGAAAACAATAGGGATATCATTATAAGAAAGAGGCACGACAGAGCTCATGTCCAACCTAGTCAAAGCATGAGAACTATCCACGACAATACCTTGGCACTTACTTGGGTTGACACTGATGCGAAATTTACTCGACCAATCAGCGATACGCCGCAGATCTTCATTAAGCGCTAGTATCGCATCATCCAGGCAGTTAATCTTGGCCTGCGCATATATTTGCAGAACATCTGCATACAGATGGTGAGAATTGTGGAGAATAGGAGAAATGAAATTGATGAAAACGGAGAACAATAGAGGGGAAAGAATTCCACCTTGGGGGACACCTTCCTCAAGGTCTCCCAACCAGACAAGGAGCCCTTGAAGATATGAAGAAAACCAGTCCAGTTCCGGAGGAGAGAAACGCAGATATGCAAAGATAGCAAGATGGATATCATGGTCAACAACATTGAATGCTTTAAAAAAAATTTAATGTTTAAAATTAAAACGTGTGCAAAGTGGTTTGCTACTGTTTTCAATATATAACATGTTTCGGTGCACAAATCTGATATTTAAAAAGGTTGTCCTTATTGTCTTTTTTGCGAGCGTGCGACCGGAACTGGTTTGGTGGGCACAAGCACCTATATGGCTTCCACATTGAAACATGACACCTATGTGGCGTTTGGGATTTCTGTATTCAGTTTAATTTATCGCAATATCAGCTACTATTTATGAGATAGCGCCAATAGATAGTTACATTTTATACGTGTGACCTTAACAGAGCTGCGGGATAACTGGAAGTAATAACTGTAACAGATATAACTATGTACTACAGATGTATGTAACAGATATAACTACATATGTATACATACATAATTATGTATGTATTAAAGTCACACCGTTTACAGAAGTTGTATTGTAGTTTTTAAATAAATAAGCATGGTACTGTACTAAAACGCTATAAAGAAGTGCGTCGGTACAAATAAAATCTTTATTTATAACTAATACAGCTATACAATAAAGTAATGAGAGTGTATAACTACAATGTCCACATATTATCATAACCGAGAAATGAGAAGTGTGAACGACATGCTGATAATATAGTCTAGGAACACAGCCAAAACAAAATAAACTAACTACGTTATGACAAAAGAGAAGAAAGAATTAAGTGATAATAATGACAACTCACTAGTTGGTTACTTGTTAGTACAGACGGTAGCACATCAAGCTATATATTGACGAATCTTGTTCACTTGATATACGGAAGGCGATATTCGAATAAAAAAGTATAGTTTGGTGAGCTGTTGACTGTACTGTGTAATGTAATACATAGGCGCACTATACGTTTCCGGAACTGGCCACTTACATAAACAATATTTAAAAAGTAATTACAACATTTGAAAATGGAACTCTTGGACTCTACAGCCCATGTATTGTATTCTACAATACAGTCTAATTTCATTTTAGAAATTGGTTGTCTACATCACCATGGAACTCGTAAAAATTGTCGTAGTATGATTTTCTACGACTTTAAGAGTAATTTAACAGCTTAGCGAAGCTTCGCTCGGCTTCAAACTGCTTTTGGCGACGAAGCACCATGCAAGACGACTACTTATAGCTGGTTTGCAGAATTCAAACGCGGTCGTGTGAATCTCGGTGACGAATTTCGTGATGGTCGCCCGTCCATTGCTGTGAACAACAAAAACATCGATACTGTGCGCCGTATGATCAAAACAGACAGGCATGTGACATACCACGAGATTCGGGCAACTTTAGGCATAGGCATGAGTAAAAAAATACAGTCAGTACTACACAAACATTTGGGTGTGAAAAAGCTGTGCTCTCGGTAAATCCTACACAATTTGACTGAGGCTCAAAAAACGGATCGCGTCACGTGGTGCAATGCCATGCTTTCCAGATTCAACGAAGGGGCGTCAAATTTGGTGTGGGACATAGTAACAGGTGACGAAACATGGATTTATAGTTACGATCCTAAAACAAAGCAGTAATCGACCGTATGGGTCTTTCGAGATGAGCCGAAACCAACCAAAGTGGCGCGCGTGCAAAGTGCCTCTAAGCGGATGATTGCTTCTTTTTTTAATAAAACTGGACACGTGGCTATTTTTGCTTTGGAGAATCATTGTACCGTGAATAGTAATTGGTACACGACCATTTGTTTGCCAGAAGTTATTGAAACAAACAAACACAAACTCCGTAAAATTAACCGTAAACGCCGTATCATCTTGCACCACAATAATGCCAGTTCTCACACGGCCAGACAGACAAACGAATTGTTGAAGGTGAACGACGTTGACCTTATGAGCCATCCCGCGTACAATCCCTGCCAATTTTTTCAAAAAAATTTCCAATAATTGAGAGCCTATTACGCGGTCAACGATTTTCATCACCTGAAGAAGCTGTCCAAGAGTTTGAAAAATATGTTTCAAAGATTGTCACAGAGGAGGGGCATAAATGTTTTCAAAATTGGTTCATTCGCATGAAAAAGTGCATTAACGCTAACTGAGAATATTTTGAGAAACAATAAATTCATTAATTAAATTTTTATTGAATTGATATTCAATTATTTTTTGTGAAATTACTCCACTAGTTTGTTATAATTATTAATACAAAGATCCAACACTCAGAAAAAACACTCACAATTTATTTAATACAGTGAATAGCGACATCTCTTGCCAGGACTGGTAGCTGTAAAGGTACCTAACTGGGTGATAAATCTGTCAAAGATTTCTCATAGATGGCGCTACGACTAAAAAGTCGTTGAAAAAAACAAGTACAAAGACACGACGCAAGCACATAGAGAAATTCGTGAGGTCCGTTGGTTCGTTCCGTGGCTTAGTTGGTATAGCGTCTGGCACGGTATGCAAGAAGACGTCGGTTCGAATCCGACCGGATCGAAGGAATTTTTTCTGAGTGTTTTTTCTGAGTGTTGGATCTTTGTATTAATAATTATAATAAATTCATTTCTGATCATTTATAGTATTTTTTTCTTATTCATTCCGGAAACTTATAGTGCGCCACACGTATTTCCAGAACTTTTAAACTTGTAGAAATAACAACAATGTTACATTGGAAAAACCTTACTTAGTATCATGTTAGAAACAAGCGTTTGTTCCTGATAATAGGTATATAATACAGATCGAGGTCGGTAATTATCCGACAAAACAGAGGCAGAGGCTAAACAAAATCGCAAATGTTTAGAAACGCTCTATTTTTAGCGTACCAGGGTTGATTACTTCGGCTTGTTAATTGCCGACAATTACTTGTGCATTGAACCTACATAGCGCAGCACTACAACACAACAAATAAATACCGATCATCCCATCGGGCAACAAACCGTTGATCTCTTCTTTATCGACGACTGTGATGATAAATTGAATTGCCAATGGTGAAATAAATACGGTATATTATAACTGTAATATATTCAGTAGCAGTAGAGCACCTAATAAAAGAGTTCGTCCAGGGAAGTGCTGCCACCTTACCTATTTCTGCTTTCCGGTTTCGAAGAGTAAGGGAGCTAGTGAAATTACAGGCACAGGGACTTGACATTTTATGTCTCAAGGTGTCGGGCGCAGTGGCATTATTCCTCAGTCTTTGAGATTTAAAGCTCTGAGTGGCAACTATTATGGATAGGCGTGTCGCTTACCATCAGGCGCACGTCTTGTTTGTTCCGTCACTTAGTTTTTATAAAAAAAAATTGTATAAATCATAAACAGTGCTAGCCCAACCTGATGACTGACAGAATTTTATGTATTTTGCAGAGATAATAATACAATAACTTGTCGATAACATTTAAAGTTCAAAACATTTAAAGGAAGTACATATAAGAGAAAATTGAGGAATTAATAGTAATAATGGTAATGTGCCAGAACAACTACACCATTTCTAGGTCTCAAACTTGGGACTTTCCTGTACTATGACTACCAGGCCACGGAATTCACTCCGGGTCACTACCAGAACACCTAGATCAGAATCAGTTTAAAAAAAGTTCATTTCTCTAATTGGTCCTACCAGGAATCGAATCCAGGACGTCTTTGTCCAGCGCCCACAGAGACAAATTGCAATTTTAAGACAAGGATTTAAATAAAGAAATAATTCAACCTGAAATGGGCATTTCTCATTGCATCTCGCGACAGCTTCCGTTCCAAATTCATCGGTGATGGAACTATAATCGCAGCCAATTGGCCAAGCGGACAAAGCCAATCCGAGCAGCGACAACACTAGCCATTTGTGCCAATTCAGTGGCGCACTCATTGTGCCCACCGCCTGCTGCTGCCGACTCCGTTCCTCTAAAGTCTCATTCGACCACAACATACATGTCCACTCTACGTCCACAATATCAGAACTTTCATTATCTTTGTCAGCCTTAATAACACAATCTGGTTTCACAGTTCACTTTTAATCGGTAGGAACTTTTATATGGTCGCGCGCAAATTGGCATAACGTTCGTAATTCAAAAGCGCGGATCAGTATCGGGCGGTGTGATGCGCGCGCGCAACGAAAGCTGTTCGGGGACTGAGTGGCGCATGAATCGCGCGGCAGACACGCGCTACGAGGACGCTACGGTTGGGCGCTACGCCTATTATGTCCCTACCTGTTGTTTGTGCACTTGTTATTATTTGATACCATCGGGGAGTATCTAACTATGTACATAGTATTAAAATATTAACTTGTAATTTATCGTAATAAACGTATACTATGCTTGGTAATGGAAAACACTTGGATTAACTGTGTCCAATGAGACGCTATGAATTAATTACACAAATGTCTTCTAAATTGTTTTTAAATTCCTAAACCAAAAAACTTTATTAAATAATGTAGAGTAACAAACTGCAATTCAATGTAGAGCAGCAATCGTTCCAGGGACAATATCTGGTCAAAAAAGCTATCTTTTATCAATTCCTCGAGTTAACCTACTTGGCCCTTATTCCTAAAACGGCTAGTTAATAACGTCGTATATCAATGCAGCAACAAGGCTACTGACGGCGATCACCAGTAGCAGAGGTCTCGTAGCACCGAATGCTCAATTAATTTAACTACATCGCCGGTTCACTTCCCACGCTTTAACAACATTCCACTGAATAGACAAGGATGAGTTCATTCAGACTTGTAGAGATTAGTAGCGTTTGCAAAACATCGCTAAAAAAATTACATGCTCTGAATAGATGACCGCGCTCAGAACAACACGTCTTCAGTATTTGTTTCAGCAGGGAAGACAAAAGCAAAGCAAGTCTTCATTATACTTTTCATACGTATACATTATATTATTGTTTACTTATAAGTACGTGTTTTACGCCATGTCGCAGCACCTAGTAAGTTGCAAAGATAATGTTATTGTTGTATACTGTCATTGTTTTAAGAGTCTGAGATTTTATGGTGTGAATTAAAAGGACGTGATTGATTAGATTCATCGGAGGAAGCGAAATCAGTCAGCTGGGATTCGTAAGTGTAAGTATTTTGTAAACATAGATAACCACTACTTCCTTTTGCAATCATTGGGTAATTAAATATACAAACCCTTTAATTTCAAAGACAGATTGCGAAGTATATAGTACTTATAATATATATAATTAAAATAAAACTTGACGATGCACTTAGTACACTCAATTTTCAAATAAAATTATAGTTAAATGTCGTATTTGTCCACAAGTCCTGCTCTCATTTACCTTCCTTCACCGCTGTAAATACTATTTTGTACTATAGTACTACATCCATAACTTTATTGAACTAACTTAACTCCATTGTTAATAATAAATTGTTGAATTAATAAATAATCAATGTTACCAAAGTATCGTGACCTTTGTTACTTACTTAAATTCGGCAATTCCAATCGCGTACTTTTAAGCTTTAATAATAATGTTATTATCTCAATGTTTAGGCGGCATTGAGATAATAACATTATCTCAAGGCGCTGTAAGTAGAGCAAGATTTTGTTTAAATAGCCATCTAGCGGTAGATGCTTATACTTCATTGTCATCGTGACTCTACCAAAATTTGGTCTACGTAAATAATGATGTTCGTCGTTCACGTTTGATCCTCAATGTTACAAGAGATGGCGCCACTGGTAAAATTAACTGGCCATATTATTTAATTTATTTGCCAGTAGATAGGACAAATAGCGTACCTGATGTTTAAATTATACCTGCATGTTAGGTAAAGATAGTACGTTAACATTACTGATTACATATATAAACAAATTAAGCCGGAAACGAAATATTTATCATATCGCATTCCATCAATTTGCTTTTGAAAAATTAAGCAAGACGGAGGAATAAGGTAATTTCATCAATATTTTACGACGTTACAAGAGATGTCGCCACTAGTAGATAATTATTTGTTATGGAACATCCTTAACTCAAACACATCCAGTATATAGATATCCACAGAGTACATTGAATGTAGATATCGTTGTCTTGACCATATTATTATAGCCATATTTGTCTATATACCAACGGCGACTAACAAAGGTGGATAGAATAAATATCATGCTTACGTCCTTAATTTAATGTCTACACGTCGATACAGATTTCTTAGAAATTAGAGATAATGAAGAAAACAAACAAATAAAGCCGGAAACGTGGTGTTTATCAATTAAAATTTTATCAATTTCCTTTCACATGGGAAAAATGGGAACAACGTATATTACCTTTACACGGTTCCTTTGAGTTCGATATTTCATTTAACTCCATAGGGCAGGACAGGTTGTTTTGGCTGAAATGATGGTGATGATTTAATATTTTATAAACTATTTAATAAATCTGTTAATAAAGCTGTATGACTCTCATGCTCCACTCAGACCAGTGCGCGTTAAGCATCTGCCTGCGCCTTGGCTTACACCATCAATAAAGAAAATCATGAAACGTAGGGACAAGGCCAAGTCGATCCTTAGGAGGTTTCCAGGTGACGATAATTTGCTTTCCTATAAACGGCTGCGTAATCTCTGCAACAGACTGTGTCGTGACGCCAAACGGCGTTACATCCATTCGTCGATGGAAGGATTGTCTATGGGTCAAACCTGGAAGTTCTTGAGATCTCTTGGTGTGGGTAGAGATCGTGACTGTACTATTGACTTACCTGATCTTAATTCACTCAACAAATACTTTACCAACTCACCATTTACAGTTGCTGACTCTGTCAAGACTTCCACGCTCACCTCTCTGGGCAATGTTGCACGTCCTGCTTATGAGCCTTTTTCTTTTCGCGAAGTCACTGAGGGGGAGGTTAAGAAGAGTATCCTATCCATTACTTCCAAGGCCGTGGGTGAAGATGGTATTTGCCGTGATATGCTGATACCTATCCTGGAAGACGTTACATCAATTATCACACACATTATGAATTGTTCACTTGCTACTGGCGTCTTTCCTAGCGACTGGAAATTAGCCCACGTCATTCCCATCCCTAAATCCGCTACTCCCACGACTTTCTCCCAATTTCGTCCTATCTCCATCCTACCATTCCTGTCCAAGGTCCTTGAAGGCACTGTTCATAAACAACTTTTCTCATTTGTCTCTCGTTATGATCTTATAAGTCCATATCAATCCGGTTTTCGTCCTGGTCATAGCACAGTAACTGCCTTACTTAACGTCACGGATGATATTCGCCACGCCATGGACAACCGATTGTTTACCATTATTGTGTTACTGGACTTCAGCAGTGCTTTCAACTCTGTCGACTATGACATCCTTCTTGCCATCCTTTGCTCTCTTAACTTCTCCCCTGCTGCAATCGCTTGGTTTTCAGACTACCTCCGCAATCGCCTTCAAAGGATCAAGCATGATGACACCTATTCTGAATGGTCTCCTTTGACTTCAGGGGTGCCTCAGGGTGGTGTACTTTCACCTCTCCTCTTCTCGCTGTTCATAAACGAACTCGCAAAACGAATAACTCCTCCGTTCCACTTATACGCTGATGACGTGCAAATTTATAGACACTTTGATGTAGCTAATACCCTATCTGCCATTGAAGCCATTAATAAAGATCTTCTTGTGGTGAAGTCTTGGGCTGATGCGTTTGGTTTGCTTATAAACCCAATGAAATCACAGGCAATAATCGTAGGTAGCAACAGACTTTACTGTAGGTTGGACATTGATAATCTCGCCAAGGTTTCGTATAATGGAGTGAGTCTTGCATATGCTGATAATACAAAGAACCTGGGTCTGATAATCGATCATACACTGTCTTGGAGACCGCAGGTAAATGAGGTTAGTCAACGCATGCATTTTTCCTACCATTCTCTCAAGCGGCTTCAATTCTTCTTGCCATTCAATACGAAGGTTATGCTTGCTCAATCTTTACTACTTCCTCTTCTCGACTATGCCGATGTTTGTTATTTGGATGCTACTGAGGAGCTGCTTAACAAACTGGAGCGCCTACAAAATCTGGCAATCCGTTTCATATTCGGTTTACGAAAATATGACCGTGTCTCTGAATTTCGGACTAAGTTGAAATGGCTACCAATCCGACTTCGCCGAGATATGCACGTTCTTTGTCTCCTTTACAAAATTCTACATTACCCCCAGCTTCCTCATTATCTGTGTTCCCGTTTTTCTCCCTTATCCCCCAGTTCCCGCCCAAAACGTACCTGTGACACTAGATCACTAATAAATCCCCAATCCAACTCGAAATTCTTCCACAACTCTTTCACGGTGAGTGCAACTCGTATGTGGAATAAACTGCCTGCTGGCATTCGTGACAGTCCATCGGTGGCATCTTTCAAACATAAATTAAAAGAGCACTACCTGTCGAACGCGTTAGATAGCTAATAGGTAACATATATTATAAAGTAGTAATTTGTTTAGATTATAATATATATTCTGCTTATGTTTGTATTTATGTATATAAATTATTTTTATGTATATATATATATATATATATAATATTATATATATTATTATTTTTATTTTTTTTTATTCACATTTAAATTTAAATTTTATTGTACAATAATTAGTCCCGCAGACTTCATTTTTCACCAAGGCTAGGGTTGGCTGGAAGAGATCTCTTCTAGAGATAAGCTCACCTTTGTATATGTTCTTTATAACTTGTGTTTCATGTATCTTTTCTTTGTGCAATAAAGAGTTATTACTATTACTAAAACTCTTTAGTGTGTGGAATGCCACGACCAAACTGATATGTAGGTACAAGGTTTAAAAAAGTTTTTTTTTTTAATTATATTAAATAAACATTTCATTATCTGTTGACACACATCATTTGGTCACAATATTTGTTCTGACCAGAATATACCTAAATCCGTCATGTCTTTTGATACCGATTTCTGATATTTTCAACACGATTTGTCCTAGTATTAGGCATTTTGTAATATTACAGCTTCTGCATCCCATTTTTTTTGCATAAACGGTGGAAATAGGTAAAAAAGGCAAAAAAAGAAAGGCTTTTATATAGAATTCAGAAAATTATTATTTTTTATAATATTCATTGTACTGTGCACTAATTAAAGCCTGAATACCTCTAAAATAAGAAGTCCTGGTTTTATTCAATTTAAGTTAATAGTTTTC